AATGGCCTCCAACCTACTAGCGATGGCCTCCACCCTACTCAGCGATGACCTCCAACCTAATAGCGATGGCCTCCAACCTGCTAGCAATGGCCTCCAACCTACTAGCGATGGCCCCCAACCTGATAGCGATGGCCTCCAACCTGATAGCAATGGCCTCCAACCTGAGAGAGATGGCCTCCAACCTAATAGCGATGGCCTCCAACCTGATGGCGATGGCGTCCAACCTGATAGCAATGGCCTCCACCCTACTCAGCGATGGCCTCCAACCTAATAGCGATGGCCTCCAACCTGCTAGCAATGGCCTCCAACCTACCAGCAATGGCCCCCAACCTGATAGCGATGGCCTCCAACCTGATAGCCATGGCCTCCAACCTGAGAGAGATGGCCTCCAACCTAATAGCGATGGCCTCCAACCTGATGGCGATTGCCTCCAACCTGATAGCAATGGCCTCCCCCCTAATCAGCGATGGCCTCCAACCTAATAGCGATGGCCTCCAACGTGCTAGCGATGGCCTCCAACCTACTAGTAATGGCCCCCAACCTGATAGCGATGGCCTCCAACCTGATAGCCATGGCCTCCAACCTGACAGCGATGGCCTCCAACCTAATAGCCATGGCCTCCAACCTGATAGCCATGGCCTCCAACCTGACAGCGATGGCCTCCAACCTGATAGCCATGGCCTCCAACCTAAGAGCGATGGCCTCCAACCTAATAGCGATGGCCTCCAAGCTGATAGCGATGGCCTCCAACCTAATAGCGATGGCCTCCAATCTAGTAGTGATGTGATGGCCCCTAACCTGATAGTGATGGCCTCCAACCTGATAGCCATAGCCTCCTCCAACCTGATAGCGATGGCCTCCAACCTGATAGGGATGGTCTTGAACCTGAAGCCATGGCCTCCAACCTGATAGCGATGGCCTCCAACCTGATAGCAATGGCCTCCACCCTACTCAGCGATGGCCTCCAACCTAATAGCGATGGCCTCCAACCTGCTAGCAATGGCCTCCAACCTACCAGCAATGGCCCCCAACCTGATAGCGATGGCCTCCAACCTGATAGCCATGG